CCCAAGATTACACTGGTAGGAAGTAATGGAAACAGGACATAGCGCCAAGTCTTCCTAATTTTATAATCTGAGCTCTTAACCCCTGTGCTGTAACTGATCATCTAAAGCTTCCCATTCAGCACCTCACATGTCCTGTAGATTCCAGCCACCAGAGTTATTTCTTCTTTGTTCCTCTCTTCTCCACAGCCACGTTGTTTGTGTCCTGTGTGTGGTGTGTAATTGACATGTAAACATTTACTATGGGCTAGGCATTCTTCAAGAACTTTGTATATATTAACTCATTTAATTATCACAAAACCCGATGAAGTAGATACTATTTTATTGCCATTTGTACAGACAAGGAAATTAAGGTTGAGAACACAAAAACCTTCAGAAAATTCACATAGATTTCTGTCTGGAGATAAGATTGAATCAGGCAGCCTGAGTTCTGGGTCTTTACTCTTTAGCCACTGCTAGCTGATCTCAGTCAAATTTTTATGAGAGTTCTGTTTGATTTAGAGTAAATTCTAAAGGTGTGAAGTAATATCAAGGTTAACCAATAGCCTTAATGCTCCCAGATGATATTTGTATTTTAAACGAACAACCTTCTTAATCCAATAGAGAAACTTTCTTAAAAGTAAGGACTTGAGGTAGGTGGTAAGAGAAAAAAGCACTAGCAGTTTGGCCACTTACTGGAAGTACACACCTATAGTGCAGAACTTGAGGCTTGATGTATATTTTATTTCTTGGGTGATAAATCAGGCCAGCTTATTTATGTAAACCAACCAGCTTTTCATACCTAATTCTTACCGTCCAGTCCCCAAATCTCCAGTTTCAGCCAGTGTGAACTTCTTGTTATTTTATAAGTATCTTACCTTCTTCAACATTCCCATGCTTTTGGACATGCTGGTTTCTTCTGCCTGGAATGTCAGTAATAATGATTACAGTAATATTACAGTTTTAATTTTAATACAGAGCACTGACTCAAATCTAGGATGTTTTTGGTTCTAGATTCAGTGATCTTGTCCCCTGCCTCTTTCAGTTGGCTTCATTGTAGAAACTTATTTCTTTGGCCTTTTTCCTTCTCTTGTCATTCAAACTCTTGCTTTACTTTTAAGAAACAACTTGAAATCATCTTTGTAAAAGATACCCCTAAACAATCACCCTTTTGTTCATTGTTTTTCTTTTAGAAGAACACTTACAAATTTTACAGATTGTAAAACCAAATTTTACAGTCGGTTTTAACTAATTTATATATCCTACTAAACATTTGGCTTCTTCGAGGAGAATTTGATTTTTCATTTTCGCCTTCCTTCGTCTTCATTCACGATTCTTGGTAAATATTGAAGGACTGCGAGTCTTCTTTAAAAACTTTATCCCAAAGGCTAAGGTAAATAAGCTCACTTTTCTGCCAGCAGCTAACCATATATCTGGGATCAGGGACAGATGGCAAGTTTGAAAGGCTGGTGGAAGTTTGGGGAAAAGGCAGCAAGAGATGGAGAAATGCCTGTGTCTACCTCATTATCTCAGAGGTCTAACCCTGCCCTGTCCAATATGATAGCCACTAGTCACTTTAAATTTAAAATAATTAAAATTAAATAAAGTTAAAAATTCAGTGACTCAGCTGTACTAGCCACATTTGAAGTACTCAGTAGGCTCTTGTGACTGGTGGCTAGTGGGCAGCTCTGATAATAGAACATTTCCATGAATGCAGAAAGTTCTGTTGGAACCTTGAGTTATTACTTCCAATAAGCATTCTTTGTAGCCCTTCCTTAATTTCCAGATTTTTAAAATAGAATGCAGAATTAGAGTTAATGTTTAAAATAACACACACAACTTCAAAGGAATTTTTTGCTTATCTACATCCACTTAACTTCTTTTAAATATCAGTTCATGGTCAATTCAAAAAATCTCATCCTCATAGGCTACAGTAGATTTTTAAGGACCAGTTCTATTGTCTGATTTGCATAGTGATTATCTTTGGTATCCTAGAAGTAAATCCTGTTTTTTAGTATGCTGGAAGACCTCATTACAGTGGCATTTTAAATTTATATAAAATATCATTTCCATCGGCAGTGAATGCATGACTAAAAACTTCTGAGCTAGAGCTTCTTAAAAAATAATAAAATAAAAATTACGACTTCAGTAAATTATTCTGGGATTTTTTTTTTTAATTGGTGGGGTAAGTGCAGGTGGTATGAAATGGTGTTATAAAATGTCATGGATTTATTGTGTCCATCACATGCATGTTGTGGTAGTCAGGCTGGATAAGAAACACACCAAAGAAAAATAGCCAGGGTTTAGAAATGGAGAAATTGGAGTGGCTTACACAACCATAAAGCCTTTGGCTGCCTTTACAGTGTAGGTGAAACTGAAATTCGCTGCAATTTGTGTGTGAATTCATCAGGACAAAACACTAGATGTCAGTGTTGTAGTTTTGACATTTTACCAGGAGCTAGTAAAGACTTCTGCTTTTAATCACTCAGAGATTCTTCATTGACACAAACTTTTAAGCTGTTGTGCCTCTTTACATTTGGATAAATGCTTACTTAGAAGAAGTACTTTTCAAAGAATTGTTTATTTTGTTATTCGTGCCTGTCTAGTGCTGCTGACTGAGGAATAAACATATGCGATATTAACATATATGTTTTTCAGCTAAATATGTTCTCCAAACTTTGTTTCTCAGCCCACTTCCCAGGGAACACTGATCTTAGGAGATGCTTCTGGGGGAAAAATAATGTGACTCTGGAATCTGGTATATAGCAGAAACTCAGATTTTCATTGAATGATAGTGCTTTCAGCTTTTGTTTGGCAAAATTTAGATACTTTTTCTTATATTGCAGGCAGTAAGATTTCTTATATCACCTTAGATTTGCATATCAAATCCTAGTCATGTTCTCAGATTTCTTAAATTTGCCCAGCGTACAGGATACAGAGGAAGCTTCAAATTAAATATGTGGCAAATTAATTTCTCTTTAAAAAAATTCTTTCTTTTTATTAAGAAATATGCAGCACATTAAGGCAGTAGAATTATTAGTGATTCTTGCTTCTTTATCATTTCCTTTAATATTTTTTGATATCATTAACATACTTTATGTTTTAAGATCATGCTTTTTAAAAATATAAAGTATTATTTTGCTCTCTGTGTTCAACTCTAGTTTATGTATTGTTCTGTTAATTTTTTGAAGATACTTCATTTTTTTTTTTTTTTTTTTGCGGTACGCGGGCCTCTCACTGTTGTGGCCTCTCCCGTTGCAGAGCACAGGCTCCGGACACGCAGGCTCAGCGGCCATGGCTCACGGGCCCAGCCGCTCCGCAGCATGTGGGATCTTCCCGGACCGGGGCACGAACCCATGTCCCCTGCATCAGCAGGCGGACTCTCAACCACTGCGCCACCAGGGAATCCCAAAGATACTTCATTTTTTACTCCTATGCTTGAGGCTCATTTTTATATGTGTATAAAATGCTTTGTTTTATATATTTTTATTTGCTTTTTTCTAATATGTTACAAGTTTAGTTTCAATATGTTAAATGTTTAGTTTTCCATCCTTTTATTTCATGAATTCGCAACAATTAAAAAATAAAGGTATTGGGGCTTCCCTGGTGGTGCAGTCGTTGAGAGTCCGCCTGCCGATGCAGGGGACACAGGTTCGTGCCCCGGTCCGGGAAGATCCCACATGCCACGGAGCGGCTGGGCCCGTGAGCCATGGCCACTGAGCCTGCGCGTCCGGAGCCTGTGCTCCGCAACGGGAGAGGCCACAACAGTGAGAGGCCCGTGGGGAAGAAAAAAAAAAAAAAGGTTTATGCAAAAGTAATACCAAAAAGCAAATATAATGATGACTAGCTAAAAGTCAGGTCTTTTCAGCAGTTCTCTTAATTCATGGCTTAAAGTCAAGAGTTTAGGGAGGATCACTCAGAATTGAAGAGCTGACTACACATTCAGTTCCTTTCACTTTGATCGTAGCCATAAGCTGATATAAAACTACTTTTGAAGTATTTCCTAATAGTTCCATAGGTTTCTGAAGAGCAAAGCAGAAGCTCTTCAGAAGGCTCTGGATCATATAGTTACCCACACACTGTGCTGGGGCTTGTGTTCTTGTTGTTAAAGTACAGTGAGCTTCAGAATTTGAGATAGGCTGCAAAACTTAAAAGTACCCAGAGCTTCCTGGCAAGTTGATTTTTGAGTAAGGTCACCAACTGGATTGTTCTTTAGGCCACTCCTCTAATCCCAGCCATTTGAATCTTACATGATGACATAGTTTGCTGGTAACCTGTATATGCTTGTTTTGGTGGTTCCGCATGAGAAAATTCAACAGTATACGAATTTGTATCCTCAACCCAGAACTTGATATTTTCACTCAGTCACCCAGCAGTGCAGTCAAACCCTGGGCACGTATCACTTCATTAGATTATTTTTCAGAAATGTTGAAACACCCCAATTGATTAATGTCATATGCAGATTCTATAAAAGGAAGTTGGTTTTTAGATTTTTCTGCACACAAATTCAGAATTTTAAACATCTGGGCCAAAGCCCTCAGAGAACTTAATCTGACTTCTCTGTGCCATGGGATCACTATACCATTTTCTTGACAGATTAAAGTTTTTGTTGTTACTTGTTTTTAAAGTAACCTTCATTAGTCTCTTCAAGTAGTTTAATGACACAAAGCCTGGGGATTTGAACACACTCTGCACTGGCACCGTGTCAGCGTCTGTCACCACCTTGATGACAAGACGTGGTGGGGCTGTTGGATTTTTTTCTACTCCCTGGGTCCTGGGTGCTGAAGCCACTGCGGCCTCCCCGTCCACATGGCTGGACCAGGTCTTTGGGGGAGGATGGCAGTAGGATGGAGGGTCCTGCCATTCTCCGCTATTACTGCAGCTGTGGGACTCGGCAAAGTCTCCTCTTGCAAGAATGGAGACTGATGGAGAACCGTTAGCCTTAGGAAGGGCCCCCGGGGTCTTACCATGGCCTTGCCAAGGTCTGCCTCTGGTTTTAAAGTTTAATTTGTTTCTACTCTTAGGTTCTGTAGGAAGCTGTGGATCGGAAGAGGATCACTTTTCCTCTGGTGAAGAAGCAGTAGAAGCTGACAATGAGGATGAAGCTGAGCCCTGTGACGATGGCAGTGAAAATGCTGTAGAAGCTAGTGTTGGAACTAATGTGGGCTGGGCAGATGCCATGGCTAAAATCCTTAACAAGAAGACTCCTAAAAGTAAACCCACCATTCTGGTCAAAAACAAGGAGCTGGAAAAGGAAAAAGAGAAGTTAAAGCAAGAGAGACTAGAGAAAAGAAAACAGGTGTGTCCTACCAGTTGTTCTGTAGATTAGGTCGTCTAGTCTAGTTCTTATCTGCACCAGATTGTTCCCTGCAGTGTTTGTCCAATTAACATTACAGTTTGTAACTTGCGTTTTATGTGAGGGTGCATAACCAAGGTTGTGTTCAGAAATCTAGTCTGAATCATTCTGTTGAGCATGTTCACTTTTTGTTCATCTAAGCAAAGCAATAGAAATGTAAACGCCAAGGAAATGTATCCTTTTAAAATCAAGTAGTTATACATGTGACAGTGACTCCTGGGTTTGAATATCTTATTCAACTTAGCTGTCCAGATACTAACTTTATTAATTCTGAACTAATAGAATCATGTTAGTTACTTTTCGCTCAAAATCTGTTTTATGGTATAAATCTTTGATGATGTCATTGTCAGGGGTTGGTTGCAGTTCTGAAAACAAACTTTCACTGTTGGATAAACTTGAGTTCCTGGTACCTTTTGTTAAACCACTGGTGGAAGAAGTTAGACTAGTGCCGCCTACTAATGAAAGGGAAAGGCCAAAAGTTGGACAAAAGTTTGCTGTTGTGTATTACAGAGGAGATAGAGAAACAATAATAAGGTTTTATATCCCCTGATGAGGTATTTCTATGTCTAAAAATATTTGGTTACTGAAATAGGTATTATTTTTTAATGAGAGAAAAATAACTTTCTACAATCGTACTGACAATATAAAAGTACTCATTTCCAAGAGTTATGTTATAGGTAAAAATGAAAGAAAAATAGATTTCAATGGCATTTATTTCCTTTTAAGTTCACCATCCCCTTATCTTGTTTCAAGATGAATGTTTTCTTTGTTCCTAATACTGGTTGGCTCTCTGTAAGAGGCTATATAAAGATGGAACTTTTCAAGTGTTGCTCTTAGAAACAACGTGCTCTTTTATTAATTCGATATTCTCATTGTACTTTATTTAAGATCAGTTTTATCTCTAAATCTTACTGATAGCTTTTCAACTGAAAATTTGAATCTTTGTTTTCTATCTGGCAAAAGCTAGAAGAGGCTTTAATCCTTAATTACCTGTAGTCCTCGTGTTCCAGTGAGAGAACAGCATTTTGAAGCCAACAGAAACGAGTCTGTAACTCTGCTCTAGGCCAAAGCTTTGAGTGCTAGAGATGGTACTGTCCACATAATGCATGAAAGCACTCGTGTGGATACCAGAAACACAACACAGCAGCCACAAACACTCTGAGTGTATATTTCTGGGTAGAGTCTATGTAAATTATCGTTTTTTAATGTTAAATATTACTGGTTTCCAGAATATTAGCTACTTATTTCTAATCATAAGTATAAAAGTACATTTCAAAGTTAAAAAATATTTTGGGATCCTGCATGCCTGTTATCCCCTGGGTACAATATAAAATTAAGAATCAACTGTTTTAAAAGTAAGATTTTTAAATTTCTGGCATAGTCTGATAATGAATTTCATGATAGTTAAAATAAATTACATGATTTGGGGAAGAATCTACTCCTTTAAAAAGGAATCAGAGTAATCTTGATACCAAGAGCAAAGATTTGGTTTTACCGTGATCAGATGTTTTTGTTAATACAAAATGAGAGATTAAATGAATGGAGAAAAGGAAAAGATAAAAGGAGACTTTTTTCCACTGATTCTTACTGGTTTTGATGTTCATCAGCTTCTTGGTGATTAGTTCATCATTTCAGTATATTTGATATTGGTGATAGGTTGGCCTGAGGAGGGGACCTGGAGAAGCTGTGTATCAAATCAGGTACCTGAGACCAGGATACCCCCGGAAAACAGTTTTGAATTAGATTGTGTTGTCTTTGAGATTTCCTTATCTCCTGATCCCTTTCTATTTCTGCATTATAGCAAAGAATCAATTTGTTGTAGTTTGTGACTGATATGCCATATTTGGCAAGGATATTGGTCAGATGTGCCATAAGAGAAAAGAAAAATAGTCACTGTATAAACAGGGTATATCTGGATATGACGCTATTCTTTTCAAAGCTGATACAAATTCTTAATAGTTCTGACTGCTGAGGAAGTCAGTTTCTAAAAATAAAGAGAAACGGTATTTAAACTTGTGGTTACGGAAGAGGGTAGTTTGGAGCCTTGCTGATGCTCCCCTCCGAGGATCTGGTGATGGCAGGGCGGGAACGGGGCTGCGCACACCCTGCCTTGTCCTGCCCGGCTGGCGGCTCTCCAGGCCCCTGCTGTCAGAGAGCCTGCCGTCAGCTCACTTGGTGCCTCTCACATGACACTCGGAGTGCTAACCACAGGCTCCCTGAGCCGAACCCCTGAAAGTGTGGGTTTTTGAAAGTCCCTGTGACAAACTAAGCCAGAATGATTTATTACCTTTGTCCTTTCACAGAGTATCATATCAAAGTATGCTGCACTTTCAAAAATGCCTAATATTCTTTCACATAACAATATTTATAACACAGCTTGATAAGAAGCGGGAATGGGAAATGATGTGCAGAGTAAAGCCAGATGTTGTCAAAGACAAAGAAACAGAGAGAAATCTTCAGAGAATTGCAACGAGGTAAGACAGTGTTCTTGCCCTTTAAAAAATTAGTACTCTAGAGCTGTGGAGTGATCCATTTCGGACTAGCTTTGATTCTTAAGGTCTGCCTTCTCAGAGCCAAGTGATTTATGTCTGAGCCTCTGCCTATTTAATACTGGATTCAACCGCAGATTTTGGAGGTCTCATGAGGCAAGAATATAACGTGCTAAGTGGATATTTGGTATGAACCTATTTCATATCATCTTGTATTTTATAGTCACAAGAACAGTATAATCAGACCTCTTACTGCATTTCTCTTAGGATGCTTGTCTTAAATTATGGCACTAGATGATTATTTTTGTTATTTTGCACTATATGACGTCACAAATTACACATTATAGCAGCTTCGTGCTGTCCTTTCACTCAGCATTTTTTTTTTATCATTGGCACCAAACATTCATTTGTTGCCCTCTGTGTTCAAAGATAAATAGAATCTGGTGGCTGCTGCATGGTCTTTGCCCACCTACGTATAGGAGCTCTAGTCTCTTTGTAAATAAAGGTACGTCTGATGTGTTAGGAACATATGATGGGAGACTGTAGGGGAGTTGCAGCAGGCTCCACGGTGGAGGTAACAGTTGGGTTGCTGCTTAAAGAATATAGCAATTACATTTAGTGGAATTCCCTTAAATGTCCTGTTTGCCTACAACAGTCTATCTGGGTGTTGTACAGTAAGACAGTGAGGCTGCATGGGTAAGAGAGGGAGCAGTAGAGCCAGACTACTGACCTGTCCCTGCACACTGGCTGACTAGCTGGGTGTCCCTGGGCATTTACTTACGTTCTCTCTGTCTCAGTTTATTTTTCCGTAGAAAAAGGAGAGAATATTATACCTACCCTATAGGATTTCTCAGAGAATTAAATAATTAATACCCGTGCAGAGCTTAGAAGAGTGCAGGATTAGTGCCAGAGAATAAGTGCCTCCTTAAATTTTATACCCTGGGCATCTCACTCTCCTCACTTTGGTCCCAGCCCTGCTGTGAAGGGTATGGAATTTTACCCTCCTTATAAACAAATAAGCCAGCTTGGTAAAGTTTCTTCGATGCTGGCAGGAGACAAGAGGCTTGTGGGCCAGAGACAAAGGACTTTGTTACTCACAGCAAAAGCAGTAGCCAGAGCTTCACGTTCCCACTGGTTCCCTGTGTCCCACGGGGGCAGTGCAGGTGCCCTAGATGGATGCCTGTGCCTGTGGTGGGTTGTGTTACAGGAGAGGAACTCTGTACCTGGGAGTCTGTTGCTTTTATGGTGAATGGTAACAAGCCTGCTCTTTGTCCGGGGGGAGACATTACCTCATCTTTCAGGGTTGCGTACTGCAAACACAACCCTGAGAAATGGCCTGGGTAAAGAGCAGTCGGGGCCTTGCATTCTTGAAGAACCCAGCAAGAACGTGCAGGGATGCTCAGGGCCTGTGGCGGGTTGCGTCTGCCAGTGATGATTAGAGCAGGAAAATTAATAGTTTATAGAATTTTAGAGCTGGAAGGGATGTTAATGGTCTAAATCATTGCTGTCCAGTAGAAATATAATGTGATCCATGTGTGTAATTTAAAATTTTCTTATAGCCACATTGAAAAAAGTATAAAGAAAGAGGTGAAATTAATTTAAATAATACATTTAACTCAATATAGTCAAATTATTATTTCAGCATGTAATCAATATAAAACAATTATTAAAGAGATTTTAAAATTCTCTTTTTCATACTGAGTCTTCAAAATCCAGTGTGTATTTTAAACTTGGAGCACATTGCAGTTCATACGGGCCATATTTTGTGTGTTCGCTAGCTACGTGTGGCTCGTGGCTACTGTAATGGACATGACAGTTTTTAATCTTCAGAGTTTATCTTTCGGTGAGTTTAACTATAGCACCAAGTACTTCAAAAAATATTTTTTTAAATTAGTCTTATAAGAGTTGCAGGTAACATAGCTGAATACTTTTTAAGCTTCTTGAGTATTGTTTTTCCCATTTACAGATGAAATTGAGATCCAGAAAATCCTTCCTAGCATCAGGTGATTAGACAGCTAACTGTAAATAAAGGCTGTGCTCATTCCATTTACACTGTAAAGCCTTTATATTTTGAGAAGTAGATGTTTGTGTTAAAACATCTTAGTTCTGATTCTTAGTACTAGTTGTACAAAAGTTGATTTAGAAAGACTAAAGCTGAAAAAAAAATCACAAATCAATCCACATATATTTATTCTCTATTCAGAAGTTTATATTCATTCATTGAAATGTATGTTCACTTTTCAGATTTGTTCAGCGCTTTTCACTTGAGTGCCTATTAAATTAGTGCCTCTTTTCTGAGCACTGAAAATACATTGTTTCTGTCCTCAGAGTTTGTGTTCTAGTGTAACTGTTACTTAACTACATTGCTCTGGTCATTTATGTTCTATAGGGGTGTGGTGCAATTATTTAATGCTGTTCAAAAGCATCAGAAGAACGTTGATGAAAAAGTTAAAGAAGCTGGAGGCTCTATTAGAAAGCGTGCTAAGCTGATATCAACTGTTTCCAAGAAAGATTTCATCAGTGTTCTCAGAGGGATGGATGGAAGCACAAATGAGAAAAGTTTGACTGGGAAGAACTCGAAAGCCAAACAGGTAAGACCGTTAGATAGGATTCAGTGCATCAGATGTCAGCTCTTAGAGTTTTGAGGTGAAAAAGCATACTATAAAATTGTAGGGTTGGTTTTGTGTTTTTTTTTTTTCAGATTTTATTAAAATGTCTACATGCCCACAGCCTAATTTAAAAGTTTGTATTCTTAAATTTCATGATGACTTATTCAGTATGGAAGTTGCCAGTTATAGATGTTAGAACTCAGGAACCAGTAGATTCAGGTAAATTTTTTAGAGACAGAGCAGTCTCTCTCCTATCTGAAATCCTGCGTTTTGTGCATTTTGTAGAAGACTAAGTGAAGGATACGGCTTCAATTGAGATTGTTACCCACAGTGGTGATTGTGATGGTGTGTAACTTCTAAAATGAAGAATTGGAGCTTTGGGAAATATGGTGAGAATTCATCCTTGTGCTGAGGCAGCTTTGATGATACTTGGCTGTTTGGGAGATGAAGAACATAAATACTTTTCATGATCTTTGGCATGAATCTCTGCTTCTCCAGCCTTTTGACCTATGAACCCCACTAGCTTTCTTTTTACTGTACCAGGTGAAAGGTTCTGAAATGTGCTTTACTCTCAGAAGGGCTGTGTTTTTTTTTTAATTAAAGCAAAGTACATAGTTGCATTTGATGACTTGGTTTCTATGGCCAACAAAGAGTACTTCAATCAGGAAACTAGAGTTGCTTTCGTAAGTTTTTTGTTTGTATTTTGGGAAGACAATAGGAACTCTGGCAAGAAGAGCATTTAGGAATTTCATGCTAGCCTAGTGTTGAAGTATTTTTCAAGTTTCTTGATTAAGTGGCCATTTTACCTAATTTTGGCAAAAATTTTCTAAGCTGTTTATACTTTGCTGATCTCTTGAATATCAAAGGACTCAAATTTTGTATATTTATGTAAATGCGGTGCTCACTGGTGCTGCCTTTTTAAAGTGTTTGTCAGAAGTAATTATGAACACATGAATACTGTGCATGGGGATTTGTACTTTTTAGTTAAAAAGTCTAACAGGCTGTGTTCTGTTCTCACTTGTGATGTAATGATACTTTACTGTAAGAACTGGAGAAAGATCCAGCAGCATTGGATGAGAAAGAGCTAATGGGGCAATGGAAAAGGAAAGACTTTTTTTCCCTTTTCCTCGTTGGTTTCAAAGTAAGTTTTAATAGAAGCATTTGTTTTTGCTTTGGGATTAGTTTTTTCATGAGTTATGAAAATACATGAAGGGTTCTTTTCAGTGGAATTATTGCATTTTCTTTGTTACCATTTGCTCTTTTGCCCTTGACCTTCTTTTTTTCTACTTGAGTGATCACAGGCATGGTATTAGTCTGAGACAAGGTCAAAAATTCCTTGAGATTTAAACCAAAGTGGCTTTGCTTTAAAAGTAATTTGTTTCTAGAACTACCTATCCCACACAAGTGCTACCCTGGCACATTTTTTTCTTTTAAAAATGTTTGTTTTCATTTTGATCTTATACTTATGGAAAAACGTAAAGTACCTATTTGTACCAGGTGCTATCCTTGTATCTTTTAAAGGCTTACAATTCAGACAGACACATGATCTCAAGTAAATAAGATTAACATGACAACATACAAATTCTCAATTAGTATGTCTAGACTATTATCATCAATTACACTATGTACAATAGACTATAAATTAAGTGGCTATTCCCATCTGTGGGGAGAATTTCAAACTAACCTATATTATTCATTTAGTACATAGAACAGTTAAGTCTATGTAGGTTACTTGAAATAGGTGGACTTTTAAGGCAATTGAAGAGAAGGAGGGAAGGCCAAGGTGGGAATCGGTTTGGTGTGCCAAAACACCATTCGGAAATGAGTCATGTATTAATGGACTGGATAAAGGAGAACGTTAATTAAGTAGAGAATAAGATTTCAGCTTTTTCTCTGATTTCACCTTATCCTAGCACCACTGCTGCTACACATTTGCCTAATAAATGCTCCTTCTCTCCTCATACAGTCTGACAGAAGAGATTTTATGGAAGTTGCTCATTGGTGTCTCTTTTCTGAGCATAATGGTATTCAGAACACAGGCTTTTAATCTCTTATTTCTAATATTGTGAAATCTTTAGCGTCCATCCACATATAAACTGGATTCGCTGGCAGCTATCTGTCAGGATACCAATCTAGAAAGACCTTCATATCTTCAGCCCCTTTACCCGGTGGTTGTGACATTAAAGTTCAAAACAGACAAGAGCCAGTCGTGTTAGATTAAGCAAAGCTGGGTAGAGTGGTAATAATCTAACCTAGAGGCCGGGTCCACTACTGTCAGTGTACCTCAGGAGTGCTCTTGGTGTTGTGTGTGGTTGGTTGCTTTATTTGTTTGTCTGTTTGTCTGTTTTTGAATCCTTAGGAAGACATGTGACTTGGGGATTTAAGAACCCTGTTTCAAGAATTTCCATACTCCTGCAAGATATTAGAAACTTTGAGACATTGTGACAAACGTTTCTTAGCTATATTACGGCCCTGAACAAGTTACTTTTCTCAGAACCTTTTCTTTTTTGCTGCATTAATTTTTTTTTAATTTTATTTTCAACGCAATAGGAACACTGCTCCAAAAGGGAACTATGACTAAATAAAATACCCTTCCCCATCCCCCTCTACCCCTTGTCTTGTCCCTTCGCCCCAAGGTAATAGATCTTCTAGTGTTTACCTCCATATATTAAATAATATTCATACTGTTTTGTTATCAATATTAGATATTATCTTTTATGGAAGGTAAAGAATTGGCATTCTTAACATTCCTTCGACCCCATACATCTCATACTCTGTCCTTCCAATATAGTATATTCATGTTTTTGGCTAAATCAGTATTCAATGTAAACATTATTCACTGCTAAGCCAAGTAATATATGATAATATTATTTTCTTTCTTTATTTCCTTACAGTTTTTGTTTTCCTGGAATTAACATTTGCTTTGTTTTATGCACCAAAGGCTTGCTACACTCTTCAAAAGAACTCTTAAACCCTTCTCAGTACTATTTTCTTCATGGTCACCCTGCTACAGTCCAGACTGATTGTTTTTTACCTGCTAGGCACTGTCTATTTTCGACTTTGCTTTATCACTGTCCTGGGAATTCCCTTTGCCTCTTCCCTGTGCAGTAGTCTCTGTTTCTTGGACTAAATGTCTTATTTTCTCTTGGCTTTCTCCCTCATTTTGATGAGGTTACATTTACCAGGAGCTTTCTGGGAACGTACTTGGGTATTCTCATTTTTAATTGATGCATTGGCTAGATATATGTAGTGGGTTGAATGGTGGCCCCCGAAATAAGTCCACATCCTGATGCCTGGAAGCTGTGATGTACCTTATTTGGAAAAAGGGTCTTTGCGGATGTAATTAAGTTAAGGATGTTGAGATGAAGAGATCATACTGAATTATCTGCATGGGCCCTAAGTCCAGCGACAAGTGTCCTTGTAAGAGACATATGGGAGATCTGACAGGCAGAAGCAGAAGGGGCAGTGTCACAGCGGAGGCAGAGGCTGGAGTGATAGCCACGAGTCAGAGTGCCGACAGCCCCCAGGAGCTGGAGGAAGCACAGAAGTGCTTCTCTCCCACAGCCCTCAGGAAGGGGGGCCTGGCCACACTCTCAACTGTGGCACGCTAAATGGCTGTTGTTTTAAGCCACCCACTTGGTGGTAGTGATACTATGGCAGACATGGGAAACTAATATAGTATAGATGTGTGTTAGAAATAATCTTCCCTCAGAAATTTGAAGTTATTGTTTCATTTTCTTTTTCTTTTTTTTTTTTTTGCCAGTGAGAGGCCCTGTGCTGTTTTGATTTCTGGTTCTTTACCCCTTGGAACCTTTGGGCTCGTCTCTCTATCTCTGCTGTTCTGAAACTCTGCAGTGAAATGCGCCGGGCGGCTTGCTCACTCCCTGTGCTGAGCCCATGGCGGCTCTCTCAACCCAGTGAGAAGTTCATGTTCCTCCCTTCTAGACACGTTGTTTGGTTTCTTGGATTTAATATCTTTGATGATTTTTGTGCCTTTTTTTTTTTCTGTGTTCTCTTTCTGGAATTTCTGCTAATTGGTTGTTAGATCTTCTGGATTGATCCTCTTATTTTCATAACTTTTTTCCCCTCTAATTTTCTCTCTCTCTGGCACCTTTCTGGGGGAAGTTCTTTGATTTCTAGCCCTTAAATTGAGTTTTAAAAATATATGACTTCATATTTTTTAATTTTGAAGAACAGTTTTTGTTCTTTTGTTTTATTCTTGGGATCCTATTATTGTTTCACGAATGCACTATCTGTTCTCTTTGGGGAATTAATTATAGGCATCTTAAATTTGTCTTCTACTCTGCGTTGTTTTAGTCTCTTCTGAGCTCATTTTTGCTGTTTGCTTTGGCCTCAGTCTTTCCAGTTGGAGGCCTTCCTTAGTACATGGCGCTCCTCAGTGTCTACTCATATTTACGAGTAAAGTACTAGAGAATGGATTGAGCATCCCAGCATGAGCCCAGGCTTTACTGGTTGGTGAGCTCAGCTATAGAAGAATCAAGAGAGTTGGTGCTTTTGTTGGGGAATGTCCAAATGTCAGTTTCTGTAGGACTTTCTTCTGGAACTTTATATCTTTTCTAGAGAAGACTCTTAAGAATCCTCTGCCTATGTATGGGGTAAGAACTTGCTGCCAGTATTCTTGGAGCAGAATGTAGGAATAGTCTTTGGGGCTCCAACATTCAGTATGTAGACTTATCCAGTACAAGCTCTTTGTGTTAGCTGGTGCTCCAGAGTCCAGGACCTCTCTGGTTTAATATTTTCAGGGAGTAAATAAACTACTGTCCATGTTAGTGTCAGTCACCTGCCTCCATAAGCGGGCGAGGGGGCCAAGAGGTCTAATAACTGCTGCTTACACGGACTATCAGCCATTCTTCTGTTTTTATCACACCCATTACCCCTACCTCCACCCACTGCCCCCAGTTCCTGAGCATGGATCCATTGTTTGTCACTTAAACATCAGCTTATTTTTCTTTGTTAATTGG